AAAGAAAATTCTGCTGACCATAGCAGCATATGAAGAAAACAAAAATCCAGGGAAAGTAAAAAAGAGCTATGACAAAGGTGTCAGTGGACAGCACGGTACAAGCCAAATCATTTCAGACCACCCAAGGTCACTCCTCAGGACAATTCAGACTTCTCAGGGGCTGGTGCAGGTTTAGAAGCTCAGGAGATCACTCGCATGCTGCCCAAAGTATTAAAAAATAATTTTCCCCAATAAACTGTTTTAAATTTTTTTTTTAGAGAGGGAGGGATAGGCAGGGAGAAAGAGAAGGGAAGAAACATCAATGTGCAGTTGCTCTTCACAACCCAGGCATGTGCCCTGACTGGAAATCGAACCAGCAACCCTTTAGTTTGCAAGCCAATGCTCAATCCACTGAGCCACACCAGCCAGGGCATTCCTAACAAACTTTTAGAGCTAGGTAGTGAAAGCAAGTTGCTCATGCACTTTCTCTCTCAGGCCACACCCTCATATTTGAGAATCTGAGTACTGGATAAATAATCATTAGAACTACTATGAACTGTGTGCTTAGTATAGGCTAAGTAGACATATTAGGTCTTTTACTAATTCAACAAATATTTACCGACTGGTTTCTAGGTGTCAAGCACTGGTGCTATGGTGAACAAAACAGACACTCTGGCTACCTTCCCAGAGTTTATAGTCCAGAAACTCATGGAACTTATACAATGATGGGAGAAAATGGGGAAGTCAAGTCTAATAACTTAGGGAACTAGACCTCATACAATGACAGGGGAAGATGGGGAAGTAAATTCCAGACTGCGGAGAGTAAGGATCCAGCCCCCACCCCGGAGGTAGTCATGTGAGGGGAACTCAGAGCCTGCGGGGAAATCAGAGAAACAGTATGTCCAGCTGTAAGAATGGGACGCAGAGGAGAGTTCAAGTGCATGGAAGGCTGTTGCCGCTGCACCTGATAGCGAGCTGGGGATTGCCGTGGGTCAGTGGACAGGTGGGGAAGGAAAGAGAGCTACTGGCAAAACAGGAGGGCGAGAACTGGACCCCCGAGCACATCTGTAGCTGCCTCTCACTGCACTCAGCTGCCTACAGGGAGCATGGCTGCTGCTTCACTTCCACCTGCCAGATCTCACACAGGTACCTCTTGGCCAACTTCTAACATGGAACTGTAAACTGTAGTTCCAAATTAGCCCTGTTGACACCATACAAAACCAGCATTTCCCCACTCCTTGTCATATTGGCATCCTACTCACCTCTTTTAGCTACATTTAACTTCCAAAAGCAAAATGTGGCTTCCTAAAATGACCCAACTATTCCTGATACAACCAAAAACACCCTCACCTTTGCCCCAAAAGAGAACAATGAATTCCCATATGTTACTTTATGTCTGAGGAATGTCTGTTCCTTTCTTGCTAAATCACACTCCCCTTTTATTTATTTATTTTAATAAGAAGCACCTGCTCAGATTTTTTTTAATATTCATTTATTTTTTAACAGCAGGCAAGGGAGGGAGAAAGAGAGCGAGAGAGACATCAGTGTGTGGTTGCCTCCTGCGCGCCCCCAACTGGGGATCTGGCCTGCAACCCAGGCATGTGTCCTGACTGGGAATTGAACCAGTGACCCTTTTGTTCCCAGGCCAGCACACAACCCCCTTAGCCACACCAGCCAAGGGATTCTCGCCTTTTAATATCCTGAAAGATAAGCTGGACTCCTATTAATACTTTTCATATTCACTAGTAATAAAATGGGAAGATGGGAAAAAAGAAAAGAGTTGGTATTATATAACTTGCAAGGGAAGTACCCAAATTAGGACCAGTCCTCCTGCAATATATGAATGAATTCTGATGGAGGTCCAAATCAAGACTTGCTTCCTCGATGGAGGTTTTGTAACCTATCAGTGCCCTCAGTGGCTGTGATATGTGCAATTGGCAAGGCTGTGGAGGAGCCCAATGGCGGCCTGGGTGAGCCCGCCACCCACTGGCCTCACCCAGATGTTCTCCAGGTCATGGCCCGAAGCCCCCGCTCCCAGGACTCAGGGCAGCGGAGGCTGGCAGAGCTGCTGACGGCATTGACACCCAGGAGAGACTTGCACACAACGACCTACCAGTTTTGTTTCAAGGACTTTAGCCTAATGAAATGACCATGGATGTGTAGCTTATATTGGTCTTAAAAAATGAAAACAACCTAAACACCCAACCATAAGGGGGCTGGTTAAATAAATTATTATACCTCCAAATGACAAAATCATACATACAACTACTAAAAATGATTTTTAAAAAATATTGAACAACATAGAAAGATTTCCATTACTAAATGGGAACAAAAGTAGACACTGAACTAATCTGCATGGTATGAACACATGCTCTAATTATGCATGCAAAAAAATGATTGAAAGCACCAACAAGGTACCAATATTGAACCTACATAATAGCATGGCACCATTAATATAATCAAATAGGATGTTATTCAGCCATAAAAAAGAAGGAAATCCTACCATCTTTCAACAGTATGCATGGACTTGGAGGGTATCATGTCAAGTGAAATAAATCAGATACGTATGATCTTATATATGGAATGTTTTTAAGTCTCATAGATAACAGAGAACAGATTAGTGGGAAGGGGAACAGGAACAGAGTGGAGTGGATGAATGTGGTCAATAGGTACAAACTTCCAGTTATAAAATAAGTAAATCCTGAGGATGTAATGTACAGCATGATGACTATAACCAATAATAATACGGTATTGTCTATTTGAAAGTTGCTAAGAGATCTCTTAGAAGTGCTCATCACAAGAAAAAAATTGTGAGTATGTATGGTAATGGATGTTAACTAGATTTACTGTGGTGATCATTTAGCAATATATACATATATTTCATCATAATGTCGTACATTTGAAACTAATGTTAGATGTCAATTATATGTCAATAAAATAATAACAATCAAATAACTTTCATCTACAGAAAGGAATTTACTGTGAGGATAAAATTAATATAATAAACAAAATAAACAGGCTAATATTTGCAAAACATAACAGGTAATCTTTAATATAGCGCCAATTCCTTCAAATCTGTAACAAAAGAATTAACAGTCCAATAGCAAAAATGAAGACATATTCAGAAAAGAAAAAAAACTGATTTTAACCGTAAAGTTTTCAATCTCACTCATAGTAAGAAATACAAAAATTGAAACCAAACCAATGACTATTTTCTAAGCTACAGATTTGGCAAAGATCAGAAAGCTTAACACATTTGAGTTGTCAAGAGTAAAGAAAAATAGACACTCTGATGTCTTGCCGGTAGGAGTATAAATTGCTAAAACCTCCAAATAGCAAAATAGGCAAATCAAAATGTTAAATGTGTGTGCCTTTGAACACAACTATTTTACTTAAAGGAATTTATCCCATGGTTACATTCAATCATGGGGTAATGTCATATGTATAAGGACAGGCTTTGCAGCATTCTTCATAATAGGGAAAAACTAGAAACAACTTAGGGACTGGTCAAATTAGGGTGCAGCTATACAATGTAATATTCTGTAACAGTTAAAAGTAGGATGGCACCTCTCCAATCCTTATATGGAAACATCTTAAAATTATATTAAGAGAAAAATTCAAGATATATAGTGGTGTGATTAAACACTACCATTTTGTAAAAAAAAAATTTAAATGTGTGAACGCGTATACACACAGATCATACACACAAACATCCACACACCTGCATAGGAATAGAACATCTCTGGAAGGATATAATAAAAAAAAAAAAACCTGATAAATCACTTCTCTATAATGGCCAGCACAGGGTAGACAAAATCCAGCAGCTAATTCATTCTTGTGCTTGGCCTCTAATTTGCCCCTCCTTTCATTTGTTCATTTTTAAAAAGGTACTACTACTTATCCCATTGACTGTGTCAGAAAAGTGGGAATCAGGTTTCTTCCTTCTCCTTCCCCCACACCCATACAGTAAATTCATCACCAAATCCTGCGAATTTTACCTCCAAAACATATGTCAACTTCATCTACTTCTGTGGCAGATACTGGTTGCCCCACAATGTTCATTGTTCCCTTTGTCCTCAGTCATGAAATCCCAGGTCTTTGACTGGGTCTGTTGCCCCTAGAATAACCTTTTTATTTTCCACCACTCCTTTCCACTGCATGGGGCCATGTGACTGAGTTCTGTCCAATGAGCTGCAATGGCAAGAATCAAGTGTAATTTCTAGAAATGTCCTTAAACGGAGGGGGCACGCTCTCTCCCTCCTGTCCTCATTCACATTGACTGTAATGAAAACAACAGGATGGAATTAGAGCGTCCATCTTAGACCAGGAGGCGGAAACCACATGTGGGAAAACAGAATGGAAAGGATCTGGTTTTTGGTGATTGTGAAGCCACCAAACTAATTCTAGGCTAACTATCTGCAGACAAATTATGTGAAAGAAAAATAGACATCTCTCTGTCCAGCTACTGTAATATGAGTTCTTCTGGCACAGATCTCCTTAATCTCAAATGATAAAATGTCTCCATTCCAACCTTCAACCCAAGCCCAGTCCATCTCCCTGAACTGCTACTTAGCATCCCCCGCCCTGTTCCCACATCCCTTCAATTCCACACTCACCAACCAGCGCGCCCCTATAGAAGCACACATGTGAATAAGTCACTTCTCTGTTTACAATCGTTTAACGAATTCCCATTAAGTTTTACATTCACAAGATGACCTACTCAACTGTACATTTTCTGGCTCCTAAAACTTCAGCTCACTCCTGGCTCTCTTCCTTTCTCATGCTCAGGCGGCAACTACATTAAAGCTTCAAATATCCTGTTCCCTCTACTGTTGCATCAGCTTAAATCTTTTCTCTTCAGTCTCCACTGACTAACGCCTACTAATTTTTCCTGTCACTGATAAATTGTAACTTCCGATTTGCCTTGAATCACAGTTCTGTCCTGCTGTAGCCGATGCATCATTGGGGATGGACAGCTGGGCGGGCTGTGAGTCGTAGCCCGCAGCATTTGCCCAGTCATGATGAGTTTGCTCCCCAGTCCCAAACTTTTTCTCAATGGATTAACAAGAAAGCCAGTAATAGAGAAATGTAAATGCGGAATGGATTACAGAGGCTACCTGGTATCTGTAAATGACTGTATGAATATGCAATTCGCAAACACAGAAACATACACAGACGGAGCCTTGTCTGGATACCTGGGTGAAGTTTTAATAAAGTGTAATAATGTCCTTTATATCCGAGATGCTGAAGAAGAGGAAGAAGATGAAGAAATGAGAGAATAGCATCTTTTGCAGGGAATATATATATTTCTAGACAGATTTGTGTTTTTCAACTTGAAACAAATTGTAACATTTTAAGGAATTATAGCAAGGAGCACTTCTCTCTAGTCCTTACCAACAAAATTATTTGTGCAACTATTCCTTTAATGTAGAGGTTTCAGATGGTGTCTTTATCCATCTAAAGTTCCTACAGGTGCATTCCAAGGCCCATACAGTATTTTTTTAGTTAAAGTTAAAGAACTTTAATCAGCACATTCTCTTTTTGTCTGTCACGGGTTCCACCAGTCGACGTCATTTCACCAACTTAGATCCTCTTCCTCTGTCTTCTAGGCCTTTGCATCTTTGGTCTGTTTCTCTTGCTGGACTAGAAGCTCCGTTAGAGTGAGGTAGATGCCTGCCTTGCACAAGATGAATATACCCTCTATCTCAATATGCTTGTGACATATTAAGGTGCTGCAGAAATCCTTGCCCAATGATGAAAGACAATGAATGAACTGCCCTTGTCACCATTACTGACTGACAGACTTTTTCTTCCTTTGTTTTTCTTTTCTGTTGGTTGGTTGGTTGGTTTTTATATCAAATACTCTAGGGAGATAAATGTGAAGAAGCATCCAATATTACATACCAAATTCTGAACAAATTTAGCACATGATGCTGGACTTCAAAGCAAACCTTCACCTTTCTACCAATGGACTAAATAGAAAGTGAAACCATACTTTTATACTTCTGAAAGTTGTGAGAAGGGTACAAAAATGTTTCATCTAGGCCATTATAGTTCTGCTGTTCAGGGGTTAGGACCTCGATATCAGTGACCCCAGTTCCCCGTGGGCTTTTTACTAAACTCAAGATGCTCTAAAATGTATGTTTCTATAGTCTGTCTCTACTAATGGCAACACCAAAAATAAATCCAGACCACACTGCCGAAAATTCTTATCACATCAAACATGGTACTTAGAATAAAACAGAAATTTTTGCTTCATGTCAGTAATTTTTATTTTTTAATTTTTTTCATATATTTTCATTTAGTTATTTTTCAAGTACAGTTTTTTGTCTATTTCTCCCATCCCAGTCCCCCCTGCCCCGTGCTCCCCACCTCCCTCCCATTTCCACCCCCCTTAGTTCTCATCCTTGTGTCCTTCATATTTGTTCCTCCAAATCCCTCCCCTTTTCCCCTTTAAATTCCCTCCCCTCTCCCCTCTGGTCACTGTCCCCTTGTTCTCTATTTCACTGTCTTTGTTTTTATTCTGCTTGCTTGTTTGTTTTGTTGTTTAGCTTCCTGTTAAAGGTGAGATCAAATGGTGTTTGTCTTTCAACACCTGGCCTATTTCACTCAGCATAATGCTTTCCAGTTCCATCCATGTTGTTGCAAAGGGTAGTAGCTCCTTCTTTCTCTCTGCTGTATAGAATTCCACTGTGTATATGTACCACAATTTTTTGATCCATTCATTTATTGATGGGCACCTAGGTTGCTTCCAACTCTTGGCTATTATAAATTGTGCTGCTATGAACATTGTGGTGCATAGGTTCTTTGATATTGACGTTTTAGGATTCTTAGGCTATAATCCTAGCAGTGGAATTGCTGGGTCAAAAGGCAGGTCGATTTTTATTTTTCTGAGAAAATTCCATACTGTTTTCCATAATGGTTGTACCCGTCTGCAATCCCACCAACAGTGAACTAAGGACCCCTTTTCTCCACACCCTCTCAACATTTGTTGTTTGTTGCTTTGTTTATGATAGCCATCCTGACCAGTGTAAAATATGTCAGTAATTTTTAAATGAAGATACAGACCAACATGTCCCTGGACTTCCAGATATTTTATTTTTATGTTTCATATTTCCTTATCCCTTCAAATGGCAAAAGTTTGAGGCTTTGGGGTTATTTTCCTATTTTTGAGGTTGTCAAATCCAGAGACCCTTCTAAAGCCCTGGACCTTCTACATTTCGACAGAAAGCATTGGAACTGAGTCACTTCCCAAAATTAAATTCCAGGTTCGCCGCCTCTACAAACACAGATTTTAGTAGGGCTTCTTCACTTGTAAGGACTGCACTCTTCTTCCTGTCTCTAAGTACTTCAGAGTTATCACACTCTAGGGAAAACACTAGAACCCTTTCCGAAAATGTTTCTCTATAGTGATGAAGAAAGAGAAATCAGTGTAGACTTAATGTAAAGTTCAAAATAAAAATTTCAAATGGAATAGAGTTTCCTTAAAAAAGAAGATCTAGATGGAAAGTATTTCCATGAGGAAAAAACAGTTAGAATCCGTATTTTCTGCCATTAAATCAAAGCGAATGCCCTGATGTGAATGAAAGTCCATTACAAATTGGACAGAGCTGATGCTATGATGGTTTTCCCCCCTCAGTATAACATCACCAAGTTTGAAAAGCAAAACATCAGGCCATTAGTTTTGTTCTTTATTTAAATCAAATAGCTAAATGGTTTGGTGCAACATTATACATTTTCCTACTTTTCTTCCTCTCCCGTCTAGTCATCATACTTTGTGGAACTGATTTGAAGACCACAGGCAGTCACTTTCTACAACTTCAGCTCTGCTTGTTTGAGTATCTCCACTGGCCTTTTCTCCGACTCATTGGAAAGATGAATCGCACTGTCTAAAACTCATGAATTGTGTGCTGCTGTGGCTGTTTCTTTTTTGCTGAGAGCAATCTGTTCAAGAACCCTATGCCCTTCAAAAAATGAGTTCCCACAAAACTCAAAAGTTCTCTAAATTACCCTCATAACGGTTTTCGGATGATAAGTTGTTCCGTATTTCATTAGATGTCTCAGGAACTCCAAAATCATTTGACTCTGTCACGGATGCAATCACCAATAATAATAACAGCCAGTATTTATTGAGCACTTACTCTCCTCCAGGTGCCGTGTTAAGCATTTCATATGTGCAATCTCCTTTTATCTTCCCAATAACTCACTATTAGTCAAGAATTTTTGTGTTACAAGTGGCAAAAATCCAGCTCAGAAATTTTTCAGTAAAAGAAAAGGAGTAAGCTTGGGTATCTGGAGGCCTTGGAACGTAGCTGGCCTAAGACACAGCTGGACCCACAGCCTCAACGATGTCATCATGGCACTGCTTTTCTCTCAGCTCTTCTTCCCTCTAAATTGCTTCCTTCTCGAGCTATCCCTGTTCTTATGAGGTGAATGCCACTGGCTCCATGCTTACATTCTGTCAACACAACAACCTGCCGTGGACTGACTTATGTCTGCCCCCAAATCCATATATTAAAATCCTAACCCCCAATGTGGCTGAATTTGGAGGTGAAGCCCTTAGGAGGTAATTAGGATTAAGTGAGGGCATAAGAGTGGGGCCCTGATCTGATGGGGTTGGTGTCCTTATAGGAGGAGAGGAAGACACCGGAGAGCTCTCTCTCTCTTCACCATGGAGGGCCACAGTGAGGAGGCAGCCACTCACAAGTTAGGTTGAGTCCTTAACAGAAACTGACCCTACCGGCACCTTGATCTTGCACCTCTCAGCCTCCAAAACTGTGAGACATGAATGCCAATTGTTTAGGCTAACAGTCTATGCTATTTTGTTACGGTGGCCCAGCTGACTAATATATAACCCAACAACCTCAGCTAAAGTCCCAGAATTAATTCTGATTGGCCTTGATCGGCTCACATGACCACCACTGAACTAATCACTGTGGCAGTTTCGCTGAGTCATCTGCTAACCTTTCGAGCTGGAATGTGAGATCAGTCTTACTTGAACTATTGGGATCAAAGTTAAGAAAAGGTTAGTCCCTAAAGGAAAATTATTACTAAAGAAAAAAAGGAAGGGATGGGAGAAAAACAGGAGTAGGCAATTTCAGAAATACAATGGAGAAGGTATTTCCATTTCATATAAGAGGAGACAAACTGGGGGAATTTAATTAAGAGACTTGCTGAACAATTCCTATCTGGTACATAGCAAAGCTGGGTGGAATTCCAACTCTGAAGTCTGAACTTGAAGCTACGGACTCTTCAACCTTTTCAATGATAAAGACCTGAGCGAATGGCAGCTGAGCCCCCTTTGTGGCCAACCTGCTCCACTTCCTTTTATCACAGGGAAATTCAGCACTATGCTATGTAACTAATATGCCTCTTCCTCTGTAATTTTTATCAAAATGATGAAAACAGAACCTTCCAGCCAAAACAAAAACAAGAAATGGTAACTTTTCTGGATTGGATCAATGGTCCACTCTGCATAACAGCATCTTCACCAATGGATTTGGAATGTAAGTTTTCCCCTGATTAAAATCTTAACAGGAACAACATTTTCCAAGCATTTTCGAGTTCTGTAATTGTGGCTCTTTTATCTCTGAATAAATCAAACATTTTAAATATTATAATATTTCTCCTGGCTTACTATCTCCTGCGTGCAATAGAATCTCCTTTTATTTACCCTAAGTATACCTCACTTAAGCTGCAAAAGAGGCTGCTCTCTCGTGTTCAGGATTTGGTGAAACAGTCTCTATTAATATCCAGATCAGACTGTTGACTTTATAGATTAGCTAGGAGTTTATCTCTCTTCTCATCTTTCCAGGCCAGATTGTGGACCGTGAAGTTTATCTTCAGGAGACACACGACATCTTCGATGAAAAACGCACTTGGCATTCGAGATGTAGCTCACAATCATTTAAGGGAAAAGATGCTCCAAGACAAGGCTTCAACAGAGGTAACACTAAACCATCTTAGTATCTCCAGTCCAGATCAATTAGGAACAAAAATCACTGAGGGACAGAGGAGACGATGGAGAAGCAGGAAGGGGGGTTGGGAAGCTGTAGGCAGTTGACGAGATCGTTATCCATGGGTTTTATAACAGAGCTAGATTCCATGGCAGAGATTTGAATCTAGAATATTGATGAAAACCCTTCAGAACATTTAGTTATAAGCACTGATGAGGTTTATTACAATCTTGCTGCAAGGGCCAAAGCCTCTAAGAAGGCAGTGATAATGATGAGAATGCATTTCTATAGGATTATACAAAAAGAAAAAGCTTGTTAAACTAAGC